GTTTGTGTTCAAACATTGTTCTTCCAACTAACATGTTCTTTGAAGCCGCAAAATATATAACCCTGTTGCCGTTGCGATTACTTTCTTCATAGAGGCTATGTTTACTCTTGGTATATTTCCTCCTTGCCGATCTTAGCATTAAGATCATCAATAATCACTTGAATGTCATTGGCTGCGGTTTGATCCTAAGCTTTTTCTAACTGATCGTAGAATATGTTTTTTTTTTTTTACGGATATGCACACTCGCAAGGAAATGTCCTATCACGCTCGAGAAGCGGCAAGTGCGCGGAAATGTCGGTGTATGTTGGTCTTGAAACGGTTCAGGTTGTAACCTGCAGGGAAAACCGTCGCAGGGAGTTTATTCCACAGCGATGCTGTTCTCCAGAGATATGAATTCTGATATAATGAGGTTCTTGGTGCCTCTAGTTTGACAGTAAATTCATGGTTACCGTCTGTTTGACGGGTTCGCCTGGTAGGTGCTACTCTCGGTGGAATCATACGTGCCAACTCTTCAGAGCATTTTCCGTGATAGTACCTGTAGAAGAGAGATAAATTGCCCACAGATCTGCGATGTTCGAGACCATCCAAGTTACGAGTAAGTGCGGGGTCATTGATCAGCTTGATAGCTCGTTTTTGCACGGTATTCAAAAGCATTAAGGTATGTTTGGGTGCTGCACTCCATATATGTGAACAGTACTCCATAGTTGGTCGAATCTGGGCTTTGTAGAGTGACAGCAATTGGCTTGGTGTGTACAGATGTCTTGTACGAAATAGCACCCCCAGCTTTTGGGAGGCCCTTTTAGCAATATCTGCCACGTGACTGTAAGACATGTTGGTCTCTGCAGTAACCCCCAAGATGTTCAACTGAGTCTGTAATGTGACAGCACTTCCAGATAGCATGATGTTTGGCTCACCGGTGCTGGTCTTTTTTGAAAACAGAGCTGCTTGGGTTTTCTGCGCGTTGAACTGTACAATGTTTTTGTTACCCCAGTCCTCTATTATCTCCAGGTCGTTATTTATCTACGATATTTGAGTTAGTCTAAGATGATGGAATTCACGTGCGGAAAGACCTGTGGGTGGTATGAGTGTGTATGAGACTACATTGCCATCGTCTGCAAAGCAATAAAGTGGATTTACTGTTTTATCTATGAGGTCATTTATGTAAATCAGGAAAAGAGTTGGCGAAAGGATTGCTCCCTGTGGCACACCAGCATTTATTTGGTAAGAGTTGGAGTTCTGGCCATCCAGTGCAACATAAATGGATCTGTCCTTTAGGTAACTTTCAAACCAAGTGCAAAGTTTCGGCGATAATCCCATTGCTTTGAGCTTGTTGAGCAGATTTTCAGGCCAAACTTTGTCGAATGCTTTGGATATATCTAAGGCAATTGTTCTTGTTTCACCCTGCAACTCAATCGCTTTTTGCCATAAGTGAGTGACGTATGTAAGTAAATCGCCAGTTGACCTATATTTTCGAAATCCGTATTGCTTATCGTTGATAATTTTGTACTTTTCCAAGTACTTGGTTAGGTGATTGTTCAAAACTCTTTCCATTAGTAGTAGTAGAGCAATTGGTCTATAGTTTAACGGATCTGTCTTTTTTCCTTTCTTTGGAATGGGTTGTACTGCGGCAGACTTCCATGATGATGGATATACTCCTTGCCTGTAAGACAAATTGAATAATTTTGCGAAAGTTGGGGTGAGTTCGTTGGCGCAATTTTTGAGTACTATTGCGGGAATGCCATCCGGACCCATTGCTTTGTTTGTATCCAGCTTTTTTAGGGATTTTCGTATTTCTCTGTGACAAAAGGGTACCTCTGGCATACTATGGGAAACCCTTTCAATGAACGGTGGAGTTTTTCCGTTTGGCACTGTTAGGTTGGAGTTGGAGGAAAACATTTGGGCAAGCATATTGGCTTTTTCCTCTGATGTTGTGGCTAAAGTGATTATTTTTATCTGTAAGTGGTGGTATGGATGACTTGGTGTAGTTAGATCCAACAGCTTTTGCAAGAGACCAAAAAGACCTAGAACTACTTGGACAATTCAGCAACCTGTTTTTTATTCTTTGATTGTATGTTTCTTCAGCGGAGTCAATAGTAATTTTGCAACTATTTCTGGCTTCTATAAATTCTGTGTGATTTTGAGCGGTTTGTTGTCGTTTCCAAAGGTTATATGCTCTGTGTTTTTTCTGTACAGCCGTTTGACACTGGCTGTTGAACCAAGGTTTTGCATTAGCTCTACGTTTAGTTGTATGTGGGATATATGCGTCCATTCCAGATAAGATTACTTGTGTTATTTCATTACAGCAAATAGTGGGATCAGCTGTTTTAAAGCAAAACTCTTGCCATGGAAAATCCAGGTAATACTGTTTTAGGTCATTCCATTTTGCCGATTTATAGTGCCACATTTTACGAGGAAGTGGTTGTAGGCTTGGTGGGATGAGCATTTCGCACTTTGTTATTATAAGTTTATGATCGGACGAACCAAGTGGAGCATCTACTTGAATTGTGTACGAGTCAGGATTGGTGGTTAGGAACAAGTCTAAAAGCGCTGCAAATTCGCCCCTTTCTGAGATACGGGTAGGTTCATCGACAAGCTGCGTTAGACCACAACTTATGGCAAAAGCTTCTGCTTCTCTGCCTTCGTTATCTGTTTTGTTGTGGTGTTTCAGCCAGGGTATATTGTGGACGTTGAAATCGCCTAAAAAGACAATTTCCGCCTGTGGATAGTTTGACTGTATACTATCACAGCTTTCGGATAATGTCGCGAAAAAGTTTTGGTAATCGGTGTTACTTGGCAGTCGGTAGAGGCAGCAGATAAACTTGGTTGATGACTTTGAGGTGAATTTTAGCCATATGATATCAAGGTTCGCTGGTTCTAGCTTCTCCTCTCGATGACATGAAAGGTCATTTTTAATGTACACACAGATCCCAAAATTATGTCGAAATCGGTGGTGTAGGTCATAGCATAGTAGGGATAAAGATAGTTCACAATAGGTGTTGCAGAACTGATTTTAGTTTCAGTGAGAACAAGGATGTCAGGTCTTTGTTCTTCAAGATGTTGGTGAACTGAATTCATATTTGTACTTATTCCTCTTATATTGCTAAAATCAATTCTGAGTTGAGTTTTTGATCCTCTCTTTATATCTTTGCATGAAGGACCCCCAGGATCACCCGACGCCCGGAGATCCGAGTGGTCGGGTATTTTACCTCCGGAATATTTTGATCCTGGAGGCGCCATTATGCTATCTGTTACTCATTGTTGGAACCGGACTGCCAGCGCAGTAGCGGAACGTGGTGATACCACTTAGCGCTACTCAATTCTGGCATGGTGGTATCTCACCGGTCGACGCCCAATGAGTAAGAAGCGTCTACCACCTACCATGTATTTATCTTCGCCTAGTTTCTCTTCGGTAATGATGCTGATGTTGAAAAACTTTCCCCCTATTCTCAGTACATCTATTCTCTCATTATTAGCTCTAAAGCCTATTACTATCACCACAAAGCTAATACCAAATTGATGCTGGTGGGGTGACAACTATAATATAGGTCGAAATTTTTCTTATACATGACTCCATCTCTAGTCCAACGCATTTCCTGGATTACAACCAAGTCAGCCCTATAGCTATCTGTTCTTCTAGAAGTCTAAGAGATGAATTTCGGTATAGAGTTCGAAGAATTCCATTATCAAATGTTTCCTTTATAACAGGCAACTTATATCGTCCTTCAAGATTGCTAAAATCCTGCCTCTATACAAAACAAAGGTGGCGATCACACATCTTCCTCTAACTATAAGGCCCATTTCTGTATTGTCGACGCTCTTAAAACTTATTGAGAGTTTGGTAAAGTCCCGTCTTATGTCATTCTTTAACGACAACAATATTATGACTAAAGATCAATTCGGATTCCAGGCAAACAGGAATACTTCTGTCACTATATTCCGGTTTCTCTCAGGAGTTTTTCGGTCCATTAGCGAGCGTGGCTGTAAGCTATTCGTTCACACGGATGGGGTATCATCTGGCAAACAGCGGCATTCCCCAGAGATCTGTACGGAAACCCATTCTCTTTCTAATTTTCATAAATGATTCAACACGATGACACAACCATTCTCTGGCACAACAGGGACTTGGATCGTCTGAAACGGGACACAAATCGTCTATGCCTAAACATGTCCAAGATTCGTCTAATTAGTTTCAGATGTGATCTTCAGGGACTTGTTGAGAACGACAACTCCATCTTTCTTGTAGACAAATGCTTTGTCAATAAGATCAATTACTTATTGTAATGTTTCTTGGACAAATAAGTACTTTTCATCATCACCATTATCCTACACTTTGCCCTTCATAAATTTACCCACCAAACATCATTCAAGATACTAATTCAAATGCCTGAACAATGGACAATATAGAAATTGCATTTCCTCTATTGAAAACTATTTAAATTATTGAGAGCCGTGTTTAATAGCAATAATGATTTCACTATTATATGGGATCCATAACTTTCATCCCGTTCAATAGCAATTTTATGTACACCGATGCGATTTATATCAGAACCTAATTGGCCATCGATGCCTTGATGGAAAGTTACTTCCATGTCGTCCACTGTGAAATAATATTCACTGGGTGAAACTGTGCCATTTATAACCGACCTATATACGGGCTTTAACGTGCCATTTAATCGAAATGCTGGTGCCAACTCCAACTGAAATACGAAAAAATTTGATTCAGCAATTGAGTTTTGTGCTTAAATTACGTATTTGAATGGAACCTGCAAAATTAATTATACAATATTTACCAGTAGGTAGAGCTGAACTACGTATGTAATTTTATACGTTTATAATGCCTGCTATATAACCTTTTGCCATGGTTATACCCATATAGATGATATTATGTGGTTAGTAAGTATTGACTTACATGGAAGACTAGCCTATTGGTATTTGTTTTGTTGTATTTTATGACCTTCATTAGCATAAATAATAAATTACCTATATTATTGATGTAAGGATTCTAATTTATTTCTTTTGTTTCAGGTAAGCTACAAGTTTTCAAATTGGTGGTAAGTGTGTTAACAAAAACCACAATATGGTACATATATTTCCCATCAAGAAATATCCAACAGAAAAAATCCATTTCAGTTTTGTGCCTACTACAAATTTCCAATATATTTGCAAATGATTCCACAGATGACTTTCAGTATATTGATTTTGAAAAGTACTGTCCAAACTGCTAGGGCATAAAATAGGTATCTCATTGTTCTATCCAGATAGTACATTCTAAAATAATATAAAAAATTTATGACCTGAGAAACTTCTGAAATTAAATTGAATTAAAAATGTTTAAAGTCTTCGGTTTAACATAATTTAAATATTTGTAAGAGCAACTCCTCACCTTCTAGTTCTAACACGTGTTTCCTCACTAATATCGCCTTTCTCCATCAGCAGATGCTTCCTAGCATAATCGCAAGACTTAGCATAATACTGATAAATTGCCTGATCTCCTACAGGCATAACTTTGAAGTTGAAATCAATCATCTCATTTTCTGGTATAAATTCTAGAAGACTGAAGGATTTTGTATTGATAAACCACCACTCGTTTAACATAAAATACGATACTGCCATGTTGCCTATGTAGATTTTTCTTTGAATTTTGAATAAGCTGGAAGAAAGAATAATTAGTTTAGTTGTTCAATATTCATTTAAAAAACATTGCCCTTTTATTAGAGCTACGAAAAAGAATGTTCTCATGTTTTGTTATATGGAAAGGAATCGATACCGTTGAAATTTGCTTCTCTCCTCTACAACAAATTCACCATTGTTTGCTTGTGTATAGCTTACAGTGAAAAATAAATCGAATTCGAACTAAATGTGTTCGAACAGTGAATCTTTTGTGCATCTCGATCTTATAATAAAGACTTTACGTCATTTAACACCATAGCAAAAAATAGCAGTTCTGTTTCAAATTATTTCTTATTATTTGATGTTTACTCACAATGGTTTATATCCGAAGGCTCTAAGCAACAAATCCACCATAACAGCAGGAATCATGTGAAATAACAAAACATTAATAAAATAATTATACCAACAATGGGTCATAGTATTGCCTGGAAACCATATTTTTTTCGCAAATGGTACATCCCAGTAAAGCCTTTTACCCAATTTAACCAGCTGTTCTTGATTATTAGCCACTTGGTTGTATTTGCTTGCATGGTAAATTGAGAGCTCATCTTTGTTACTATAATTGACTTTATGCCATCCCGCAGTAATCATAAGTTTCACAACATTGTCAACTGCTATATAATCTGTATCAACTTTACGACCTCCATAGACGGTTCTCAGTAGTCCTGAGCCTCCTGCCAATAACAACCCCACAGGCCCGTTGAAATTGTCAATCCAGCCTTCAAATGGTTCCAAAATTGTACTGACAACAACTGATGGCCTGCAAATAATCGTAGGTACTTTACCAACCAGTAACTCATTAACACAATGCTCAGCTAATAGTTTCGTAAACGTGTAAGTATTGGGGAAGGTTCCTATATATTTCTGAGCAAGTACATCGAACGTTTGAGGGTCGCATGATTCGGCCGCCTCGATAGCTTCCTTCCAATTACCATGTGAAGGATACAAAATTTCCTCAATTTCTTTTTTACCGTCAATGTTACAATACGTAGTGGACACGTGCATATGGAATTCGAGATGTTTCATTTCCAAGGCGAGTAAAGCAGCTTCTCGTGCACTTCTTACGTTAACAAATATGGCATCTTTGAGGGCATCGTCAAACTTTACTGAAGCTGCCACGTGGTAGAACATGTGTACTTTCGTTATTAACAGTTGACGGTCTTCTGAGGAGAGACCTAAAAAGTAGTGTGCAGTTGTAGTTTTTAATGGGTCTGATTAAAATCAGATTGGTTCTTACCCAGTCCTAGTTCAGCAGTATTTCCATTGACAGGGACAATTTTCTTAATACTCTCTGGGTTCGATTTCTTCAATAGATCAAATAACTGCAAAAATAATTGATTGAGTTATAGAGATAATAATTAAATTCAATTAAGTATTTCAATATTTTTTCTTTCTTAACCTCCATGATGTGACCGTAGAAATGATAGTAGGGAGTAACAAGATATTGTCGACTGTATGCATGGGCGGGAAAAGGATTCAATTGGAGGTGCAGGATTCCTTATACATACGTAGAAAACTTTCTAGCAAAATAGTATCAATACAGACAGTATCAACGAGAGTATGCTACGCTATTCTACGAACAAATACTAAGTACCTACACCATAAAAAACATTCAGGTGTATATGCACCGACCTCTGAACACAGAGAACGAAGATGAAATAAGTCTATTCTATATGCAGACATCTGTAGAGCTAGGTATAGAAGATAACAAAACTCACTTCATGGTACCATGTGAAGACTTTAACGCCAAAATTGGAATAAAATCAGACCCAACTAATACCGCACTCGAAAAATTTGGTAGTCCAGGTGGAAATGAGCGTGAAGAAACAATGCTTGGCTTCTTGCTTGAGAAAAATCTATACGAGATACGAGACAGCTTCTACCGCAAAAAGATCCAAAGAAGATCGACTTGGCAAAGCACTGATGGCAAGACACGAAACAAAGTCGACTACTTAGTAACAGATAAAAAACAAATTTTCGAAGACGTGTCAGTTATAAACAGATTTACTACAGGAAGTGACCACCGCATGGTAAGAGCTACTCTCCAAATAAACCTCGAAAATGAATGAACTAGACTGATTAAGAAAAAAACTCCCAAAACATGGACAAACCCGAAGGAAATAAGAAATTTTGAAAAACATATCGAAAACTCTTTGAAAACGAAACAAGTATGTATAAATGATTTGAATGAAAATAATTGAAACATTAATGGATGCACAGCAAAAGTACCAATTGCCCAAAAAAGCCTAAGCAGAAAAAATCAACCCAGAAACCCAAACAAAAATGGAAGAACCTAGAGAACTTAAGGGGATATCAAATTTAAACCAACAAAAACTGAGAGAAATTAACAAAGATCAAAGGCACTAAGGAGAGACATCAGGAAATACAGATATGACAAAGTAGTACAAACAATAGAACAAAATAAAAACCTGAAACTATTGAGAAAATAACTAACAAACAGTAAAAAAGAAAATTTCCAACTTAAAGACAAGAAGTGAACATAACATTAAATACAGAACAAATAATAAAGATCATAGAAGCATTTTTCCTTATTCCGACCTAACAAGTCATAATCTACATAAAATACAAAACAAAGGATCAGAAGTCGTTCCCGATATCATGAAAAAGAAAATTAACTATGCGCTGAAGAAAATGAAAAATAATAACGCGCCTGGGGAAGACAAAGTAGTGGCAGAAGCTATAAAAATAGGAGGATCTGTGTTAATATTCAAGATACAAAAGCTTTTTAACATATGTTTATACAAAACCAAGAGATCTCGTCTTAATGGAACAATGTGATTACTTTCCTCCCCCACAAAAAAGGGGACATAATGGAGCTTAGCAATTATAGACCTATTAGCCTCCTAAATCACATCTATAAACTATACACCCGTATAATAACATCAAGCTAAGCTTGATTTTTATCACAAACAAGAGACCATGCTGGCTTCCGCTCCGGATATGAGACAAATGACCGAAAACACTTATTGAGAAGACCGTTGAATACAATAGACCCCTAGTATTGATATTTGTAGATTTCCAAAAAGCCTTTGATTCACAATATCTACTATAATAGGAATGTTTACAAAATGAAAAAATCCTGTTTAACCATCATCAAATTTTTAAGCATCATTTCATAGGTAAATCTACAAAATTTTACAAAAATCAGAAAATTGTTTCTATGAGAAAAACGCAGACGAACTTTTATTATTAGTTTAAATTCACGAAACGCTCTCTGACGTCACAATGCGGAACTTCTTAGCGCGCGCAAGTACAGTGACGCTACTAGCTACTTGGATTAGCCTTTTGTGACGTTGCTTTTGAGATTTTGGTTGGCAATAAAGAATATCAATATTAATATTTATTGTTATTATTATTATGGTTAGGTTTTATTTTAACGAGAGAGTCTGTTTAACGTTTAACAAGTATTTTGATATTGCTGCTATCTCCTTCGTGTCGATCTCTGTGTTAGGTATGTTAGGGTTTATCGAAATTACGGTAGAAAAGTTACTATGGCTAAAATAGAGGAAGGTTTTCAGAAGGCCGATTCACATATTCTGCCAACTGTAGATGTTATCTACTATTGTATTAGAATTTTTGGTCAAGTGACGACTTGAATCAGCTCCAGTCCAGTGGTGTAGAAGTAAAACAGACGTATTAGAGGTGGGTATAGTTGAATTTGAACAATGATATATAGTTATTTACCTATAACAAATGCGGAAAGTTATACTTTTCCGCCCGCAATGCAAGTGCGGAAAACATCCTTTACGCTCGTGATAGGCACATTTTTTCTACGAGCGTGTGGAAAACGCGTCTTCACGCAGCGATTTGCATGCGGAAAGTACCACATTTCCGCACCTCGTGGGAAAACACACACGTAAAGTCTGTCGATTTTAATCTGATACTCGAAAGGAATGTGAGCTGGTGGCACCCTACATTAGAACGCCAATGGTCACCTGACATCACACCTGTTTTTGCCATATACTTCACCCCCTCGCTCCTCATACGGAAAGCATCAGATAAAAATCGACGAACAATAGGTACCACTTTTTTCGACTCGGTTTAACTTTGTTTGAGTCTGCCATCATAACACAAACACAAATAATTAGAGTGAATGAAGCTTCCTGGGATAAAGCAACAGTCAGCAACACAATAAATTCAATGTAACGTTGTAAACAAATCTCATCAACGCGCCAGCTGATTGTTCGCTCCGCACAGTGACGTCACAAGCGTTACTCTCGCCGCAGGGGGTCGTTTTGATAGTCTCGCTAATTTTGTTTTTTTGTTTTCGATTTATCAGAAAAAAAATAAAGGGATTCTAGATGTTTTAACGCTTAATACGTGTTTTGTGGACCTAGAACCACCACTTTTTATTACAATCAAAAAATAGTGAACATTCCTATTCAACAACGGCAACAACCACCATAAAAATACATAGAACAACACAAAAAATAGTTATCAGACGAGGAGAAAAACAGGGCGATACTATTACCATTTATTGTTTACAGCCGTTTTAGAACATGCTTTTAAAACACTAGAATGGGACAACAAAGGCATAACTGTAGATTGAAAAAAAATTAAATAATCTCCGTTTTGCGGATAATATAGTACCAATCACAGATGACTTACAATAAGGAAAAAAAATGCTACAAGAACTTCAAAAGGCAATGCAGATGGTAGGTCTAAACATCAATTACGGCAAGACTGAGGTAATGACAAACCTAGTCCCCAGTGAAAATATACAAATTCACGGAGCAGATATAGAATTTGTGGAAAAATACTGTTATTTGGGACATGAGATTAGAATTGACAGAGACAATTAAACGTGCGAACTTTTGAGGTGTATCACTCTCGGATGGGCGGCATATGGTCGGCTCAGACATATATTCAAAGATCATGATATACCCATACCCTTGAAGGGGAAAACTTTTAATACGTGCGTCTTAGTTCTCGCCTATAGTGCGGAGACACTCACAAAAGCATCAGCCAGAAAGCTACTTGTCACAGAACGTAAGATAGAAAGATCGATTCTGAGAATAACTCTGAGAGACAAAATAAGAAACGACGAGATCCGAACAAGAACTGGAGTGGAAGACATGATAGAAGAAATCGCGAAATTAAAATGCAAACTGGTCATGTCGCAAGACAGAAGGAAATGGTTGATGGACAAAAAAAGTTTTGAGTGATTTGAAAAGACTCGATACAAATTGCAACCGCTCAAAACAGAGGGAAGTGGAAATATCTATAGGAGGCCTATATGTCCGACAGCGGTCGTAAATAGCTGGGTGATGATCATGCATATCAAAGTAGAAGAAATAAAAGATTACTTCATAACGCATAAAAGACAAATATTCAAGGACGTCACATTATTGAATAAATTCGCAACCATCCAATGTTGAGACCATTTATCGAGTTGGAAAGAGGCGAAATGATGAAATATAAAAGTAAGACCTGCATAAATCTGAAAGACCAAAAGGAATTCGCAGAAATGACATCAATAACTTGATGAACATAATAGTAGATACAACGCAAGCAAAACGAAAACTCTGCTTCACAAGCGCAAAACAGCAAAAAATAGTAAATAGTAAAGAAGAGCGAAAATGGAACTAACAAGGCAGTACTCTCTGAAAGAAGTGACAAAAAGGCAAACCAAGACAATCTAGAAGAAATGAATATAGATATTATTATTTATTATTACGACAAGCAATAAAGAAAAACAACATTATGAAGGTAAGGAAATTTGGAGGAAACTGGTCAATCAAAGCGGAAATTGTTATAAGACAAGAAATATAATACGTATTAGAATGATATAACGAAGCTCTTAGTACAAAAAGCATCTCTTTAGAATTTGATAAAAATGAACGTCAAAATCTAGCTGATAATATTCAAAAACTTTTCAACCTGTGCATCCATAATCAAAACATACCAGATGACTGACGTCAAGTAAGTTAGCAACATTGAAAACCGGATCTTTAGGATACACCTCTGCTTGTGCTGCTATATTACTGCTTTGTTCTGCTTCAAACCGCAATCCAGCAGCATCCTCCGTTTTCGAAATATATCGATTTGCATTTTGGTTGCTAACTCCACTCTTGGCAACACATTGGAAACAGGATCGTGAAAACATGTTCCTGTTTGTGCTGCTATATGGTTCTGCCTCAAACAGGGCCGGGATTCCGAAACCACGATATGATAGTATCATCTATACGTATAAATATAGATAAATCCGTCAAATCCCACCAGCGTATAAGCTCTTCACTATGACGTAGGGGGGAGGAGGCCCTTTAGGGAACCCGAGATTTTTTTTTTTCAAAAATCCTCC